ATAATCTCAAGAGTGAGCCGGAAATGGTTTAGAAAGTCTTTAAGGCTCGAAAATGGATTGAAATTTCCATGTGACAAATGAAGTTAGTCTTTCTAATAGTTGCATATGGAGCTTTAGCTGTTAAGAACAGTCAAATCCACCTTAACCAGAAGATGTCTCAGTACAGTCCAATTTTGTGCTGAATGTGCTGTATTCCATGCCCATGGGAGGATGAAGTACTGCATAACCTTTATGGTTCTGTCTTTGATTGTCTTTAATCCACCAGAAGACACAAAAATCAGATGAGCTCTCTCAATCCATTTGTTAACCTGGCATGTAATGTTCTTAGATAAAATTGCTTATGTTTACTGCTTAAACAGAGAATGTGGAGGGAAATATGGCAATGCAGTTAGACTCAAAGACTTCAGGTTTCTGTGAGAATGTAAATGTAATGTCCCAGAGACCTCCTTTGTAACACAAGAGGCTAAAAGGAAGATTTTCCTCCCCTAGGTCAAGCCATCTTTTATATCATCTGACAGAAACAACGCACCTATTAAGACAATTCCAACCTTTAAAACAGTGAAAATAAACTATGAAGGAGAGTTGAATGTTATCTTTTACATAATCCTATGCTTCCTTCCCCCCCCCCTTTGGTACTGGTGGGGATTAAACACTTGGCCTCCCACTTGCACAAATGCTTTTGTGTTGAGCTACATTCCCAACCCTCAAAAAACAAAAAAACAAACAAACAAACAAACAAAAAAAAAAACAAAACACACACACACCAACAAACAACAACAAAAAACGCTTATTTTGAGACAGGGTCTCCCTAAATTGCCCTGGCTGGACTCCAATTTGAGACCCTCCTGCCTGAGCTTCCTGAGTAGCTGGGATTACAAGCTGCAGCCACCATACTCAGCTCTTAGGCTTCCTTTATGGAGCAAAACAAAAAGTGAAAATAATTAGAAAGATTTTGGAGAGTTTCAGTTTTTTTTTTTTTTTAATGTCGAACTTTATGTTTAATAGATTGGAAAAATCTAACATTTTTATCTGTAAAGTACACGGTGGATGGAGGTTGGGAGGCAGAGGCGTTGACTTCTTCCAGTCAGGCTGACCAATGATCTCTATATCGGTTGTCAAGATTTCCTCTGACCCAAGAACAATGAAGCAAAGGTCTTTCAGTAAATGCCACACGGATATGTCACAGTTAAGTCAGGCATGTGGAGGGTCATGGAAATCCCCGAGTGGGTTTGCCAGGCCACTGATTAAGGGGAAGTGCGTGTGGTTATTACCGCTGGAGTTCCCCTAAGTCTTAAAAGGAAAGCACCGGCGCACATGCAAACCACTGGGAGGAGAGCAGGACGAGGGTGTGTGTAGGTGGGAGCGGGGACGCGGGGGAGTCGGGGCGCGGCCTTTAAAGGCCGCACGAGACTCGGGCCCGCCCGAAACAGGCCAGGCGACTGGTGTACTGGGGAAGACTTGGCTGCTTCTTGCCGGTGCGTCGGCCTCGGTGGCGAGGGCTGCTGTGAGTGTGCGCGTGCGCAGTGCATCCCGGCCTCCCGCGGGGGTAGGGGACGGTCTGCGGGGGCCAGGGGTCTCGGGGCTGGGCGCGGAGGACCAGAGTCCGGGGGTGGCGCGGTATCAAACACCGTCTAGAGGTCTGCTGCAGATTGGCTACGGAGCTGTTCGGATCCGATCCCGGACACGCGAAAGAGCCTTTCCAGGGGAGCCCCGGCCTCTTCTCTGGCGCGCCCCAGTGGCTGCGGCGGAGACTTGGCTCTTCCGCCCGCGAGAGGCGCCCGGGGCTGAGGATTCTAGGGGCGTCGGTGGTGGGCGGGAGACCCTTCGGGCTGTCGGGCTGTCTCCGCTGTAGTCACCCACCGTACGGTCTGTGTTGCTGCTAGGTGTTCAATTTCTCTTTCACTTTTGGGGTGAGCCAGTTAAATGCTGAAGCTTTGGCATTTTGATTGGATTGCCAAGAGGTATCACCTGGTCTTTGTGAGAGCCAGATAAGATTCAAGACAGAGAGCCTAAAGCAGAGAGCTAGCACAGTAAGGACTCAATAAAATATTTAATGATCAAATGGAGGAATGTTTCCAAGTGGTGGCAGAAGGAATGCAGATTTTTGATTATTTTCCTGGTGATCAGCATAGAAATCCAATAGTACTCTTAATCTAGTCGGTAAATCATGCAGGTATTTACCTGATGCTAAAATAACAATAATATGAACTTGCTATTTGTCACCAACATTAAATGTTGCTACCTGCTATATGCTAGGTTATCTTCTGAAGACTATATATGTATTTGTCACGTTTAATTATGACAATCTTATGAAGCAGTTATGATAACCATCTCAAATTGAAAATGAAGAAAGTAAGGTCCTGAGGACTTAATTGTTCAAAGTCACACTCCTGGTAAAAGGGTACTAATTTGTTTTGAAAATCCAAGATATCTGATTCCAAAGCCTGATAGTAAATAATCATTAAGCTGACTTTGTAGTCATGGGTGTAAAATTGATGTTTTTAGTACCATGTAAATCTGGGTACTGTGACCATATAGGACTTAGTCAAGTTTGCTAATATTTACTTCTTCAACAAGAATATTTTGGGCAAGGTCTGAGGCTTGGTAGTAGAGTGCTTGCCTCGCATGTGGAAGAACCTGGGGCCAATCCCTAGTACCACAAAAAAAAAAAAAAAAAAAAAAAAAAAAAAAACCAGAACAAAACAAACAAAAAATCCCCAACGACAAGTCAATGTCTGTTCTATGCCAAGTTGTCTGTGGCTGTTGTGGAACCGAGGGCTGGTACAGAAATCAAACATAGTTCCCATTCTGAAGGATGTCATAGTCTAGGGGGAGGCAGAAGGAAAAGGGATATTAACTAGTGTCAGAGAGATGGGATATAACTGGTGTCAGAGAGATGGAAATGTTCAGTGTCTGAGAGGATAGGGATACCCAACAGCCCTGGGATTAGGGAGGTTGCTCATCAGAAATGGTAGAGTAAGAAGAGAGTTGGGGAACCTGAGCATATCTGAGAAGGAACCACTAGAAAGGAAAGAGGAATTTCAAGAGTGGTATCAGGGAAGTCAAGGGAATAGAGCATTTTTAAGAGGAAATGTACCCCAGAGTCAGAGGCAAAACTTTCCATTAGTTTTGGCAAGGAAGTCACTGGTGGTGTTAATATTATTTTTCAGTGATGCTGGTATAAGGAGTAAGTGGGAGGGAGTGAAGTGGAGACATTGATGGTAGATACATGTTCAATTCCTTTGTCCATAAAGAGAGGGAGAGATGAAGGGGAATTGCTAGAGTAAAAAACTGGGGTTGAAAGAAGATTTGTTGTTGTCATTTGTTTCCATTTGAAAGTTGAGATAGACTTCAGTATGACTGTTACAAGGAAGGAAGAGAGCCAGTAGAGAGTGAGAGTTGGAGACTTGAGGGGAGATGGGATTCAGAGCTAGTGAGGCAGTAGGAGAGCATGGAATTCCACAGAGGGACAGGTCTTGCATTGAGGCAGTAAGGAGGTTGTGAGCAAGAAGGTATGGATGTGAGAATGTGAAAGACTCACTGCCCAACAATGCCCTTTTCTTTAAGAAACAGAAGGCAATAAGTGAAAATGAGGAGGGGAGAAATTTGAGGAAGGTCTTGAAGGCTTGGAAGAGTTGCATAGGACCATGGCTAAAATGGGTTCTAAGGGACAAGAATGAGTCTGAGTGATGCTGGTCCTAGATTTTGAAATATTGTGGTCCAAGAAAAAACTTATTTTGAAATGGTGAAATTCATAAAAGGCATGTGGATTAAGAGCATTGTATCAATGTTCATTTTTTTTTATTTCTATAATTGTACTATGGTTATGTAAGATGTTATTTTTGGAAAAGTTGACCACAGAGAATGTGGGAACTCTGTATTATTATTTTTGTCAGTTTATAACTGTAAATTAACTTCAAAATAAGACAATTTAAAAATTAGCAAAATATTATAACCAAATTCTATGCCAGCCAAATGTAACATGTCTACTTGACACCAGCTTGAGAGCTCTGATCATTGTATGGGACTTCTTGGCCTTGGTGATGGCTAGGGAAGCACTTTTATTTTTTATTTGTTTTATTTTGTTTTTGTGGAGCTTGCACATGCTTGGCAAGTACTTGAACACTGAACTATGTCGCCAGTCCCAACTTGTATAGCATCTTGTACATGATAGGCAATTAGTAAATACTACTGTTCTATTTTAGAGAAAATACTTTAAGAAAAAATGATTATGTTACATCTATGAATTATTTGACTTTTAAAGATCTCTCTCTCTCTCTTTCTCTCTCTCTCTTAAACAGGTTTACAAAGGACACAAATTGTTTTACTACTTCTAGCTTTTTTCTAGTTTCTTCTATAAATCAAAACATCTCAAAATGGAGGCCTAAAACCCTTAAAAGGGACCTAGTCTAATCTCGGGAGGTAGTTTTGTGCATGAAATAACAATTAATAGTTAACTGAACTTTTGGTGTAGTATCCAAAGAATGTTAATTTTAAGAAATCTAATTATATGAACTGTAACTATAATGATTTTTGAATTTGATTTGTAGAAGTAAAGAAGTTGGAAGAAATGGTTGAAGCACTCTTTTCAAAGTTGGCTAGGCAATCTCCTACTAATTGATGTTAGAGTAGAAAAAAGTACCTGTGTTTGGTCAAATTTAAAAATGAGTGATAGTTACCAGGAACCAAGAGCTGATATTTCACTATCTGCAAGATTAGAGAAATATGCAAATGAAGTATTTGACATAGACAATGACAAAGAATGTGAAAACCAAAACATTTTAATAAGTTCAACAAATTTAGAGGAAATAGGAAACATAAACATGATAACTGATGAAGAAATTATCACGTAGAAGGCCACTGATATTTTAAAAGTCTAAATGTAAGTTTTTTCAAATAGGCTCTTATCTCTGAGAATGATGAAGAATGATGGCTAAATGGTTACATATTTTTTTCAGAAAGGAAATTTATGTAAAGACAACTTTTTTTTTTTTAATAACAATGTGTAACAATTTTGACCATGGGAAGGCATAGTGAAGTTGGTCACAGTAACTTTTGAGGAAATAATCATTGGTAACAGTCTCTGAAGTTTCTTCTGCTACCTGGAAATCCCGTTCAAAAATAAGCCTTGAAGTCTACATTAGAAAACACCAACATCTGTGGGCTCAAAGAAACCATACCTGCCAACCACTGGTAAAAAAAAACAATCATAGAGATTGCTAGTATTATTGACAGAGAACCTATTTATTAACAGCTTGTAAGTCATAATTGAAAACTTCTAATTTTTGAGATTTCTGTGATAATTTTTAGTTTGGTTTTTGTCATGATAAATTCTGGTTCAAGGTACACTGTGAAATAATTTCCGACCCAAGACAAATTTATATGATTTGATGATTCATCTTAGCATATAGATTTGGCATTTTGTAACTTTTGATTGTTTTCAAAATTAAATCCACTATCCGAGAAAATTTGATGTAACCTGAATATAGCAATGAACTTCAATATCATTATTGGTGATTTGTGGCAGTCTCCATTTTCAGCACCTTCTATCTACCATAATTACCAAGGGTTATTGGTTCTAGCCAATTACATCATTAGAACAAAGAAATGGTAACATTGAGTTATCTCAATGGCATGAAACTGGGTCCAAAAGACCAAATAAGCAGATACATTAGTCTCTAATGATTTATTTAAAATAGAATGTTTGATTTTTTAAAAATTTCATAACATCACTAAGCAAAAATGTTCCTGATGATCAATGAGGAAGTAATTATTATATAATAAATATTGAAAACAAGTTTTAGATGGCAGTCAATTCTGTTACTACTTAATCTTCAGAGGGAAACTTCAGATTTTTGTTCTCCTTATTAAAAATGATCATAAACGGAAGAATTACTTAATTTGAGAGAGATTTGGGATAAACCATATTTCACTGAATCTAAGATGCCCTCACGTATGAGTCATACTATTATTTTATGTATCTCTAAGAAATAAAAATGTTGCTAACTAAAATATGCTATTGATTGTAAGCTACCTCTTGATAACAGATATCAAAGCAAGTATCTTTAATTAAATCAATGACCTATGGTAATGTAATCTTCCTGTGAGATATGAGATCGATCTTGTGCTATTTTTTTTTGCTACCAAATTTTACAATTTCTAAACAAAACAAAACAAACATACACTGAATATTTTTGTGTGTGATGCTTATGGAGCATAGCTTTCTACCATGAAAAGAAGCTAGCATTATGAGGCAAACACTCTGCAGGTTGGTGAAGGCCACTGCTGTACCCTGGTGGTCTGCAAAAAGGTGATCTAGGTGTAGAGGTGCTTCCTGATAATCTAAAACACTTTATGCCTCTAGGAAGGATTTTAATTTTGTCACAGGTTACTATGTAACATCTTATTTACATTGTATGTATAAAGGTTATACAAAGATGCTGTTGTAACTGTCCCTTAACATGCATCAGTGTAGAATTTAGACTCTCTCCATGCTGAAACCCTAAATGCATAGAAGAAAGAATGAAAGAATTCTCATTTTAGATGTTCCACCTAGAAGTAAAACTGATAAAAACAAAACAAAACAAAACAAAACAAAAAAACATGCACAAAACTACCTCCCCAGAGAAAGGCTGGTCCCTTTTACTCCTCATTCATTTCGTTATGAATATAGTAGAAAATAGCATCTTCTTATCAAATTTGATGAAGAATGCCAACTCATTTAAAATGAAGTACGACTTTTCATGTGAACTGTACCGGATGTCCACATATTCCACTTTCCCCTCAGGGGTTCCCGTCTCGGAAAGGAGTCTTGCTCGTGCTGGTTTCTATTACACTGGTGTGAAAGACAAGGTCAAATGCTTCTGTTGTGGCCTCATGCTGGATAACTGGAAACAAGGAGACAATCCTATCGAAAAGCATAAAAAATTGTATCCTAGCTGCAGCTTTGTTCAGAATCTAAATTCAGTTAACAATTCGAAAGCTACTTCTCAGCCTTCTTTTTCTTCTTCAGTAACAAATTCCACACATTCATTACTTCCAAGTTTGGAAAACAGTGGATATTTTAGTGGCTCTTATTCAAGCTTTCCATCAAATCCTGTCAACTCCAGAGCAAATCAAGATTTTTCTGCCTTGAGGATAAATCCCTATCATTGTTCAATGAATACTGAAAAGGCCAGATTACTCACTTATCAAATGTGGCCATTGACCTTTCTGTCACCTACAGAACTAGCCAAAGCAGGCTTTTACTACATAGGGCCTGGAGACAGAGTGGCTTGCTTTGCCTGCGGTGGAAAATTGAGCAATTGGGAACCAAAGGACGATGCTATGTCAGAACACCTAAGACATTTTCCCAACTGCCCGTTTGTAGAAAATCAGTTTCAAGATACTTCAAGATACACCGTTTCTAATCTGAGCATGCAGACACATGCAGCCCGCTTTAAAACGTTCTTTAACTGGCCTTCCAGTGTTCTGGTTCATCCTGAGCAACTTGCAAGTGCAGGTTTTTATTATGTGGGTAAGGAACTTAATCTGATAATTTAAAAAGTTCAGCATGTTTTATTTTATACATTTTAGTGGGAAATTATATGTATTCATAAGTTTTGGTCTAAAATAATTTTAGGTCACAGTGATGATGTCAAATGCTTTTGCTGTGATGGTGGACTGAGGTGTTGGGAGTTGGGAGATGATCCGTGGGTGGAACATGCCAAGTGGTTTCCAAGGTAATTGTTTTGAAATTCTCTTTGCAAATGCTTGTGATTATCATGAAGTGGGTTTGATGTGTTTGCCCTCTAGTCAGCTGTCATATTATTCTTTGTTCAAAAAATATATTTGTGACTAAGTTTAGAATGGGTTATTTAGAAAAATAATTACTTAAAATGCTTTAATGGGTTTAAGACAAAGAAAAAGTAGGTTTAGGTTGTTTTTTATGTAAAAATTTATATATTATATTAACACAAAAAATCATAAAGCATTTAAATCATATGAAAAAGTACTAGGAGTAAATCAAATTTGTGTTAATTATGGTAGCACCTTAATAAACAAATAATAAATAAAAGATTCACATGCAAAAAATATGAATCCTATTACAGAATATTTATAGGTTAGTTTTACCAAAAAAAAAAAAAAAAAAAAAATTCAAGACAAAGAAATACAGTAGAATAGTTCTCACTGGGCTAAGATTTATTTATTCTTCTAAGCTTATAATCAGTGATCTAAAATGACTCTGGATTTGGGATGCTTAGACAGCTTTTTAATAGAATAAACACATAGGGATGATAAATTTATGTTATTAAATTTCCTTTCACTTTTATAAAATTATCCTTCAAACTTTGTTTATATTTGAGGTGTGAGTACTTGATAAGAATTAAAGGACAAGAATTCATCAGTCAAGTTCAAGCCAGTTATCCCCATCTGCTTGAACAGGTAGGTAGGGAAGTTTCTTTTTTCCTTTTAAATCACTGGTTACCAACAGACAGTTTGTTTTTAATAATTATAAAGTATATTTTAGTCAAAAGACAAAAGTTTTTAAAACACATTTTTCTTTTTCATAAAACTTGATATGGTCCTAGAAAGTACTATTTTTTGGAGAAAAGTAGATCCATAATTCATAACCCCCTGAAAAATAAGATTTGTTATCTTTGTTTTTAAGCATTCCTCCAATCAAGTTGAGGGGAAAAAATTGGCTGGAATAGTAGCATTTAATAGGTTTGCTATAAAACTTTTTCTTTAGAAAATTTGAGAAAGAATGTTATTGTTCTTTCTAATCTTTCTGGGAGAGCAAATGACAACTTATATAATAGTTTGGGGGTCAAAAACTGCCTAGCTGTGGTCAACAGACTGATATAGGGTTTACTCTATCCCAAAAGATAACCCAGGAGCATAAGATCTGTTAATGAGAGGCAAACTGATTATCTCATAGATCACTGAAGAGCTTTAGCCCTTTTCCTGCCTTCAGGAAAATAGATTTTATATGTTAGTACAAACACAGAGAAATTCTGTTGGTTTATGGCTGAGAGAATAGCTGGTGGATGTAAATAAAATACATCTTTTGATTAAACAATTTATTTTGTCAGTAAACCAGTCAGCTTGTAATAAATTTTAAAAAGTAGGTCTATTGGCTCGTTTTTATTGTGATGGGCAGTATGAAGTTTATATTTAATTGATATACATTTTTTTCTATAGCTGTTATCCACATCAGATACCCCAGAAGATGAAAATGCAGAGTCACCAAGTATGTATAAACATAATTACTTCATTGAGATAGACACATTTAGCATTATTAAGATTAAAAGGTGATAATAATAATATACGTTTGTATTGATTTATCATTTACAATGCATTTTCAAATATATCATGTTGGTATTTCTCAAACTTCAGTGCATATCAGAATTACCTGGAGAACTTTAAAAACTAGTGCAGATTTCTAGTTTATGCTTCAAACCTACTGAATTGAATCAGAGTATCTAAGGGTAGGACTTGGGTATCAGTAGTTAGTGGATTTGTTTTGTTGGTACTGAGGTTTGAATCCAGGGCCTTGAGGATGCTAAGCATATGCTCTTCCACTGAGCAATATCCACAGCCCTGGGCATCTAATTTTAGCAAAATACATACTTCTAGTCTAACCCTTATTCTTGGACCAGTATGGGAAGAGGTGTACTGTGATATTAGATTGTTCACATATGCTTTCTGTGAAATAAAGGAGAGTAGAAAAAACAGTATTCCCATCCTTTAGTAAAGATCTCAAAGCTCAGAGAAGTTGAATGACTTGACCCTTACCTTAGAACTAAAAGGGGGTAGAGCAAATGTTTGAACAAGTGCTTCTATTTCATTTTCTAGCATTAAATAAAATAAAATAAATATACATGTATTTACTATTCTTAGGGAAGCATAGGAAGCAGGATAAGCATGACTCCTGCTCTCATGAGCTAATGATCTTATGGATAAAAACAATACACAGATAGGAGAAAGGGATTTGGTGGGGAAAATAAAGTGTGATATGAGAGTGCCTGAGAGAACTAGAGGATCAGAAAAGGCTTTCTGGAAGAAATACTCATCTTGTCAGAGAACTCAAGGAAAAAGGAGTCAACCAGGTGACAAAGGGAAGAAAAGGACATTCTAGACATAGGGAACAGCATATAAAAGGCCTGTGTGAGATAGAACAAGCTCATTTGAAGAACTGAACAAAATTCTGTATGGTCAGAAGTAGGAGTTGCAAACAGATGAATGCATGAAGCAGGCTGGCGTAAGGGGTCAGCACTGCAGACAGAATTTGACCCAAGACCTATCAGTTTGTGACTTCTATCCTAGAGAGCAGAATGCAAATAATTGACAAGGGATGAAGCTGAAGAGGTAAACAGGATACAGATTGTATGTGGGCTTATAAGCTACAATGGAATTGTTGATGGAATTTAAGGAGTATAACACAATCAGATTTGTGTGTTTTTTTTTTGTTTGTTTGTTTGTTTTAAATCACTTTGGTTGTGGCATTGAGAATGGGCTGGAAGGGAACAATATTGTAGGAAGCCATTGCAGTAACAAAAGTGAGTGATGACAAAGACCCCTTGTGAAAATATGTATTTGATTTAGAAAGCTCATTTGTTAATCCAACACAGGGAAAAGGGAATCTCAATTCTTTGATCTCTGACATTCTGTTTCCTTCTCCTTCTTTTATATGTATATGGTATGACAGATAGCAAATGTTTTGTATCTAAATACAATCTTCTATATTCTTATTTTGGTAACTGAACATATATATCATTTTAAATTTAACGAAGTTTGTATAAAATAGTGCCTCTACATTTTCTAGTGTTTTAAGTTTGTGATATTTTAATAACTTTCAATTTTAAAGCATACAGACTATCCTAATGTGTGTTAAATTCTTTGTTCCACATAGTTGTTCATTTTGGACCTGGAGAAAACCATTCAGAAGATGCTGTCATGATGAATACACCTGTGGTTAAAGCTGCTTTGGAAATGGGCTTCAGTAGAAACCTGGTAAAACAGACAGTTCAGAGTAAAATCCTAACCGCTGGAGAGAATTATAAAACCATCAGTGATCTTGTATTAGATTTGCTTAATGCAGAAGATGAAATAAGGGAAGAGGCAAAAGAAAGAGCAACTGAGGAAAAAGAATCAGGTATGTATTTTTTTAGTATAGTCTCTCTTTCCATAAGAATGTGATATCACTCTATGTATCTTACTGAAAATATACTAATTGATCAGTCAACCCAGTCATATTTTTTGTATGTTTAGTATTCTGAATTCAAATTCTGAAAAAAATTTTTTCACACTAAGATATATAGGAATTGCTGCTTAACTTGAAAATGTGTACATTAAGAGGAAATATTTTTTTCCTTCTTTCCCTTATTTCATATTTTACTCTGAATAGTTAACTTTGAATGCAATTATTCATGGCACATTTTTAATCACTGGCTAGTTGCTCACTCCCCTTTTCTGTAAATCAGGGTGGGATAAGGGGCAATTATTAATTTTAATATTAGCATAACAGTATGTCTCATCCTGTGACTAAAAATGAATACACAAATTGTGATTAAGTGTCCTACATGCCCATACAAGAACTGAGTTCCCTTCCAATGACTGTTATTTAGGCAAGTCCTAGGGTACTGTTTCACATTCATTCAGGCAAGCTACCATGTCCTCCCATGCTAGCTAGCCTGTTAGCTACTCTGTTCTCTATTGCTCTGCCCAGAAACTGTCTCCCTCTGGAGGACACACTCCATCTGGTTGCAACTTCTGTTATCATTCTGACATAAACAAAGAGAAATTCTGATCTCTCTTGCTGCTCTTTCCCAAGCTTGGACCCGACCCTGCCTCTTCAACACAGTTGAAGATAATAGACTGCCACTCTTAACAATCTCTTACTGGAGATTTAGGAACAAGAGGAAGAAATTATATCTCAGATGGCAATTTATAACTGGAAATAGATGTGGCCTCATTCTCATAAATCTCTCTACCTAGTGTCTGGTCCATCAATGTGTAGCTCTAGCCAGTTTACACAAAAAACTAGGAAAATTGCGAACATGGTTTCCTTTATCAAAGATAAGGGCTCCAAATATTCAATACTGAGAGAGAGCAGAAAGCTTGCACTTGTCTTTGTTCACAGCCATTTGAGATCTATTTCTTTCCAGGGTGATTGACAGAGTGTCCACCCCATTTAAGGATGAACCTATTCCACCTATGAAGATAAATATGTCTTTTGCCCAATTCAGACAAATGTATCTGAACATAGTAATACAGCATCACACATTTACCAAGGTGTGAATTACTTAGTCTACACACCACCAGTACAGCAGGAACACAATCCAAGTCAGTATCTGTCCTGCCTAGTCAAGTTCTTCGGTTTTCATTGTGAAGTGGACATTAGGCAAGTGTGTCCTTTCTGTAGTCATCTCAGTTTTTTTGTTTGTTTTTGATACTGGGGATTGAACCCCTGGGGTTCAGACTTCTAAATCACTAGGATTATGGGCTAGTATCACCATGTCCAGCTGTCATCTGAGTCTTAATCACTGGTCATCACTCAACAATTGCCCCAAAATCTTCACATTTGTTGAGAAACCCAATGATGTCTAAATTCATCCACCTGTAGAAATGCTTATATTTCTTCCAAATAAAATTAACAAGGTCTCCAGAGATGACTCCAGATTGACAATGTACCATGATTTACATTGTCAAAAGGAGCTCTTAATGTCACCCTTCTATGTTTACTACTTAGCAGGCTGTCTGCACATAGCCTGTGCTCAAGAAAAAATTTTTTTGAATGAGTTAAGGAAAATACTTGCATTTAGGTTATTGATTATATTATAGTATTCCAAGAACAGTGGCAATTAATTTCTTAACAGATACATAAATAAAGAGGCAATTTAGGAAATTTTTTCTCAGAAAAAATAATATGTTTCAAAGATATATTCAAGTCTTCACTTGTTCCAAATGTATATTCAAGCCATAATACAGTCTATGACTTTGAAATAAGAACTTTTCCCAAATACTAGCAATAAAATTTTAGAAATCTTAGGAATTTCAAAGAGGCTTGGGGTATTTCTCAATGGTAGAATGTTCAGGTAGACTGCTTGCCTAGCATACACAAGGCCATGGATTCAATTATCAGCACCAAGAAAGAAAAAAAGTAGTTCAGAGAGTTTATTAGGGCTAAGCAAAATGTTATTAGAAAAATAAATGTTATTTTGAAAAGTTAATGTACTTCAACACCAAGTATAAATTATATTTTATTTTCTAATATATTACTACTTGTCTAATATAGATAATTTAATGGTATATTTTGTTCTGAATCTTCTATACCTCTATTACTTTTTTAAATTCCTACTCTTTAAATTACTAAGGCTATTTTTAAAATTTCTTCAATAGTTATTTATAAAGTATCTTTGTAAATATACTATTCTAGGTTCTCATCCTTTTCTCATTTATTCTCAAAGCTTCAGTTATATTCAGAATGTATATCTTCAGCCTTGACTTTTTTACTAAGTATCACTTTTTATTCTTTTTGAGATGGTTGTATTTATGTGTCCTATCATAATAGGACAAAGTCAATATGTCTTAAACCTCACAATCATCTGTCCTAAAATAATTATTCTTCAGACACCCAGCTTCTACCATTAGTTATTTTATAAACAGCTTTATAGTAGAAAAATAAATAAATTTTAAAAAGAAATAGCTTTATTGATTATGGTAAAGTATATGATAAGCTTAGGTTCTTAGTTCAAAGAGATGATAAAATCACAGTTTTTTTTTTCAGTACTGGGGATTGATCTAGGGGTGCTCTACCACTGAACTACATCCCCAGCCCTCTTTATTTTTCTTATTTTGATACAAAGTCTTACAAGTAGTTGCCCAGGCTAACCTCGAACTTTTGATCCTCCTGCCTCAGCCTCCAGGGTAGCTGGGATTACAGGTGTGCCTCACGGTACCTGGCAAATTGCAGTTTCAATCTACATAGTTTTTTTTTTTTTTAACCAATAAATTCAAATTTAGATCTTGAAGGAAAATAAGATGATTATATAAGGTCAATAGAAGGTAGTCATTGACAAAGAGGATTTACTCTTCAAAATGCTGTGAGTTTTTTCCTCATTATACAATATTTAGGTAATGGCCATATGTCTGATTTGAGAAAATAATTAAAATTTCCACTTAAAAATGAAAATTTAAAGAAATTTTATGAAATAATAAACATTTTTAAAAATTGCTTTAATTCATTTGATTTTACATTTCCCCAATTTGGCTAAATTGAATTAAGATTTTAATCTTATTGAGTTAACAGCTTAGCTGGATCACAGAATGACTGAAAGCACAAATCATGATGCCACCCTGTCTCAGTTTGACTTTGCTAGTTATGTGTCCTTTGGCAATTTATTTGCCTCTTCGTGGCTTTGTTTTCTCATCTGTTAAACGAAGGAATTAGTATTTACTTCAAATGGCTATTGCTTTTGCCCTCTCATATCTGCTCCCAGCTGCAGCTGTTAATTAAGGAAATATGGGACAAGAGTGATGAGAATGAGGAATAGACAAATAGACACACATAGAGAGAAAACAGCGGGGCTAGGTGGACAGCCAAACTCTGATGCAGAGTTTGACTAACCCTGAGCTAACTCAGCATGTTTATTGTATAGGTTTCATCAAAAGGTTATTTGTGGGAAAGTTTTAGCAAAACATGCAATCTGAAGGATGCAGGACTGGGGAGACATTAGGGTCATCTTGTTTTGCTCAGAATTCTCTATTCCTGGGAGTTGGTGTCTGAATTCTAGGCCTCTGCTGATAACTCTGACCCTTTAAAGAGTTTCTTCAGGCTGGTATCACCATAGCAACAGAGCCATCTTGACTTGCACTTTTGCACAGGCAGTTCCCAGTGCAACACAGCCACAAGAAAGTTGGAGCATGATTCATATAACTGTTCTCCACAGGCTATTATGAGGATGAAATGGGGTAACATGTGGGGTACCTAATGCAGTGCTCAGTGTCATTTCTCATAATCAGCGTTATCATGAGGCACAAGCAGCAGATACCCCAACCCTAGCAATCAATATCAGAGCCTTACTAATGGTAAATTGAAGATGGTTTTCATTGACTTATATATGTAAGTGTGGAAGAAAGTTTGTGAGCAGAGTTTGAACATCTTTGTGTTTGTTTTCTTTTTTATAAAGAAGACCTATTATTAATTCGGAAGAATAGAATGGCACTTTTCCAACATCTGACTTGTGTAATTCCAATTCTGGATAGTCTACTAATTGCCAGAGTGATTAATGAACAAGAGCATGATGTAATTAAGCAGAAAACACAGACTTCTTTACAAGCAAGAGAACTGATTGACACCATTTTAGTAAAAGGAAATACCGCAGCCACTGTATTCAAAAACTCTCTACAAGAAACTGACCCTATGTTATACAAGCATTTATTTGGTGAGTGCAAGAAAATTATTTTTGGGAAGTTCCTAGGTCAGTTCCAAAATATACTCAAACAATTGGTGATTATTGAAAAGAATTCAACCTAATTTATTAAACTGCACAAAAAGATTAAAGACTTTTGTTGCCTTGACATTATGAGTGTTTGGCCAAAGTGTAAACTACTAGTTTGAAAAATATATTCTTATTTGTCATAATAATATTTTTTCTTTCTTTTATTCCTTTAGTGCAACAGGACATAAGGTGTATTCGCACAGAAGATACTTCAGGTAATAATATTAACACTTTAAGCTGCTAGAAAACATTGTCTTTATTTTCTTGGTTTTTTTAAAAGGAGGAGAAGCAAATTGCCTTTTATTATTATTTTTTTCCCCTTTTTCTCAGATCTACCAATGGAAGAACAATTGCGGAGACTACAAGAAGAAAGAACATGTAAAGTGTGCATGGACAAAGAAGTGTCCATAGTGTTCATTCCTTGTGGTCATCTAGTAGTATGCAAAGATTGTGCCCCTTCTCTAAGAAAATGTCCGATTTGTAGGGGTACCATCAAGGGTACAGTTCGTACATTTCTTTCATGAAGAAGGTCCAAAACTTTTGTCTAAACTCTGGAATTAAGGGATTAAGTATATTATGATTTTAACTTTTACATTCATTTGCTTTCCTTAAATTTATTTATTTATTTGCAACTTGGAAAATTTTGTTTTATATAAGTATGTTTATGTAAATATATATCTAAAATACACAAACAATAATAAGAGAATGATGGGCTTTTGTTCATGGAAACAAAAAATAGGAATAGCACTACAAACATAATAATAAAGTTTCAGCATTATTGAAATTATAAATGAAGTAAGATTTAAGATATATATTTGTCAAATGACTTTTTTTAGGGACATGGCATTTTTGCAAAGAATTTTGTGAGGAACAATTTAATAAAGCAATGAAAATTACTCTTATTCTTGGTATCTTGATTTCTATGATATTGGATAGTTCAGTCACTCCAGATTCTTTCTGTACCTCTTTAAGGCCTTTTGAATGTTGGACTGAGGTCTAGATCCCTTCTGGAAAGATGCTTCTTCATTTATACTTGTAGAGCACAGTATAAATGTGCCTTTTTTTTTCTGTAGGATATTATGGGATGCTTTAGACAAAAGTCAAGCAGTCCCCTCAGTAAGTTTGTTTTTTCACTTGCTTATTGATTCACCTAGGAAGTCATGTGTGCCAGTCCTACCCACTGGGGGAAACCTTTTTTTTTTGGCACTGAGGATTGAACCCAGGGCTGCTTAACCACTGAGCCATATCCACAGCCCTTTTTATATATTTTATTTAGAGACAGGATCTCACTGAGTTACGAAGTTCCTCGATAAGTTGCTGAGGCTGGCTTTAAACTCATGATCCTCCTGCTTCAGCCTCCCAAGCTGCTGGGATTACAGGCATGCACCACCGCACCTGGCCCTATGTTTTTATTCATACCACTCAAGTATGAATTCCAGGACTTAGAAAGTGGACTGACTAGCAACCCTTATGACCAACAGCTTGTTCCTGGAAGTAAACTGTTCTGTATTGTCAGTGCAGCAAAATTTCCTTCTCTGTCTTACTTTTTTTGGTACTCAACATGTTCAACTCATAATTCTCTATCCTTTGTTTCCTACAGGGATTTAAAGCCAGAAATAAAACTGTAATAGGGAATAAAAGCCAGGCAAAGGCCAGTCATTTAAACTAGTTCTAGAGATCTGTTAGAAAGATTAAGAACTATGCAAGGGGAAGGAGGGAAGAATCCATCTCTTCATTCTGATGCTGGATGACCATTTCCTTGAGAAAAACCTAACCCTAAACCTAACCCTAATCCTAACCCTAACCCAGGCTCAGCTGGCTAACTACTTTAAAATCAGTGACCTCCTGGTGTACTAGGATTCATTAATTGTAATATTGCTTGGATGAGTTGTTACTTAGCTATAGGATAAATATTTAGACACTAGACCTTTTTTTTTTTTTTGTAACCTCTATTTTGGTATGGTTTTTATTTTGCATACTACAGTTAATATTTGAACTTATCTTGCTACATCCATGTAAAACTTTTGTTCATTTCTCATTTTTTATAATAAATAGCAGAAATAACTAACTTATTTATTCAAATGTTATTTCTCTATTAGTTAAAAATATGTTCTGAAAAAAATTATTTTAGATAATAAAAATGGTAACTCCATTTGCTAACCATATGTCAGGCCATATTTTGGGGTGCTTAAGTGTTAATCCCTTTGACTGCTTCCAGCTCCACTCCCCACTCAACCAGTCTTCAGTGGCCATAATTGGGTGGATTACTTAAACAACATACACTGTATAATAAGTATTATAATAAGTATTATATAACTGTATAATAAGTATTATAATTCAGAACTTTGCAGTGGGTTTAGTTTCATAATTAGGAAATATCAGGTAGCTTCTATTTACCCTTTTTATTAATTCCCTTATATTGCTTGATGCAATTGCCTATTAAGATCTTTTGTGGTTACAGGCCATGTAACCATCTCCTTTCCATGAAGGTGTTATCCTTTGGTTTTATGCACATCAGAGTGGACAGTGTAAATATGTACTAAGTACATTGCCGGCAAAGCAAACAGGTGTGATGTTTAAGAAATTTATTATTTCAGCAGCAACACTAATACTCTTGAAACAGAATATCAGTGGATTTGCATTTCTTTCTACCCTCTACACCTCTAATCAAGGAGATTTTGGTGAAGTCTAATTTCCAGAGTTTATACCATACAAATAATTGGTATTTTTTTCAACAAAACTGCTCCCCACCAAATTATCATGACCCTGCAGAATCTTCAGCCTCATTTCCTCCACGTTCCCCACTGCTTACTATTTTCCAGTCACCTTTCTTCAACATGGCAAAGTGCTTTTTGTTTCAGGGTCTTTGTTTAGGGATGGAAAAGGGAGTCATCATTTTCCTGCTCATCCAAAAGGGTCATTACCAACATTCCCTAAAACAATAGGTCAATAAGAAAACCAAGACAAATTTATTTTATCATAATTTTACACAACATAGAGGTCCTCAGGTTGAAGACGCCAAAGACCTAGGGTGAACAGTCTGTTTTTATGCTTAGGTTCTGTGAAGCAGGGACAGCTGTGTAGGAATATGATTGGACAAAAGGGTCTGAGCGAATGGGAAACCCAGCAAGGCCAGTCTATTCAGAATCCTATTGGCCCCTTAGTTGTGGTACTTCTTCCTCCTGGGTATGGGCAGGGCCGCTGTGGAATGAGGGTCCTAATTTCTTTTGACTACATTTAACACAGAAAGGCAAGGGAAGTTTGGAGTAATCATTCTAGTTTTTATGGCTGGATTTGAGGGAAAGGGGTACGTGTTTCTATGACCCACCTTGGGGAAGAGGAATTCTGGTTTCTATGATTCACTTTAAGGGAGAATGAGGGAAACAAGATCAGGAGGTCAGAGGAAAACTTTGCTTCTAAATCCTTAATTTTGCACATAATTTTCTGAGCAACAGCAAGTACTCTTCATTTCATTTACTCTTTCCTTGGCAAATTCCTACTCATTTTCCAGCCTCAGCCTAGAAGCATCTTTCTTAGAGGCTTTCTCTCACTTCCCCTTTTTCTAAATTATATCCTTTTGGTTATGTCTCTAATGGACTCTTCTTTTTTTAATAACACGTATCTCAACTTGTATTTATACATTTATTGTTTAGAGCCATGTTCTATTGTCTACATTTCTATAAGGACAAGACCCATGTATTTTGTTTGCCACTGTATATCCAGTACTTAGCACAGAATCTGACAAAACAATCCCTTATTGAATAAATGAATGAAGGAACAACTTCCTGAATGCAGCTGAGATGTGAGGGGGATTTCTTTTTTCTTTTTTTTTTTGTATTGGGAATTGAACCCAGGGGTGCTTTCCACTAAGCCACATCTCAGCCTTTTTATTTTTTTGAGACTGGGTCTCCCTAAGTTGCTGAGGATCTTGCGAAGTTGCTGGGCTGGTCTTGAACTTGTGATGCTTCTGCCTCAGTCTCCAGAGATGCTGATTACAGATGTGGGCCACTACACCTGGGTAGGGGGGTGGATTTCTTCTTCCTTAAATGCAACTGTTGGTAAGTACTAAGGTCTACTCATTGATAGAAAATCATAAGTCAAATTCTGTACTTCTTTTTTTAAAAAATATTTTTATTTTTTAGTTTTAGATGGACACAGTATCTTCATTTTATTTATTTTTTTAAATGTGGTGCTGAGGATCAAACTCAGTGCCTCACACATGCCAGGCGAGGATGCTATCACTTGAGCCACATCCCAAGCCCCCAAATTCTGTACTTCTTTACATATCAAAAGGAATCTTTAGAAGGGAAAGATCAGTGTAGTTAAAAGGATTTGTGTAAGAAGTAGAATTTAGAACATTTTTCTCAATGATGAAACATGGCATTTCAACTCAGGAAAGAGCACAAGAAAAGACAGACACATAGCTGGGTGCAATGGCGAGGCCTGTAATCTCAGGGACTGGAAAGGTGAGGCAGGAGGACTGCAAGTTTGAGGCAAGCCTCAGCAACTTACAGACCCTCTCTCATAATTAGAAAAAAAATAAAAAGGACTGGGGATAAGGAGATATAGATCAGTGGTAAAGGGTTAGGGATGTGGCTCAGTGGTTAAGTGCCCCTGGGTTCAATTCCAGGTATGAATAAAATAAATAAATATACAATAGATGCATAGGAAGAGTTTTGATCTCATTCATGATAGAGCAATAAAATTAAAACTACAGTGAGGGACTGGGGTTATGGTTCAGTGGTACAGCGTTTGCCTCACATGTGCCATCCTCAGCACCATATTAAAAAAAAATAAAGCTATTGTGCCCATCTACAACTAAAAAATATTTTAAGAACAAAACAAAACTACAGTGGACACTATTTCTTATCTAACAGTTGGCAACAATTCAAAAGTTGATAACATCCTTCCCTAATGAAGTTATGGGGAAAACATGCATTCCCATTACATTGCCGGTCCGATTACAAAATGTCAACATTCCCACAGATAAGCATTTAGCTATATCCAGCAAAATTACATATGAACTGACATTTGAATTAGTAATCCAACTTTTGGAAATATATCCTAAAATAAGATACATGTCCATGATCCTTCATTACAACACTATTTGTAATAGCAAGAATGGAAACCATCCAGATGTCCATCAGTAAGAAAGCCGTTGAATATACTATGGTACTAGTTTTGTCTCAGACCAGGGAAAACTTCTTCAAGTTGGCTCCTGGGTCTTTGACATTACCCAAGTAGTCTTAAGATTGCTTTTTGGTGGGAAGGAGAGGTTGAGAGCTCAAGGGACTCTCAGTGGGGTGAATGCCCTCCTCTGGGGTTTCTAGCTACAAAGATTGTGCTGGCTTATGTACAGATTGGTGCAAACTTGTTCTTTCAGACCAGGAGCCTGACACTGAGGGCAGCCAGTGTGAATTCTCATTTATGGTGGTCCACTTGTGAGGAGTAGAAAGTTTGGTGGTCCATTTTCAGAATACTATATTTAGCTTTAATTGGGATATGAGATCCAATTGTAGCTGTTTTAACTATAGTCCTTCCCTTAGCCTGCCTCAATTCTAAAATTAGGTAATCATGAAGATTATACCTCCATTTCCTCCTATCAGGGCAGGGAAAGCTCTGTATAAGGTATAAAAACAGGTGATTGCCTGCCCAGATGCGCTTGCCAGCCAGGTTTGGTAGCTCGCACATGTTTGATCTCCATGGGCACCTAAGTATTTCTAAAACACAGGAGGGAGGAAGCTGCCTGGCCAGAGGTTTGCTTCATGACCACTACAACACCTTTGCTGCCGGCCGCCACTCCACCCTCAGACTTGTGATGAATCAGGGGTGGAAGGAGTGGTGACCCTTCAAGTTATTGGGCTTAGTGCTGTGCGTCTGGTTATTCCTCTTGATTACTGACTGCAGCTGTGTTCTACAGGACAGTCCATGGCAGATGCACAATATGGCTATGTCTTCTTTTCCTGCTGCTGCGACCAAGACAGAAAGAGGCCTTCGACTGCATTTTGAATCAAATTGTTCAAGTTAAACATATTATGGTGCTTCAAACCGATGAAATACTAAGCACAAAGTAGAAATATTTACATCTACTAGTATTGAATGATTTCCAGAATTTGAGAAAGGTAGAGAGAAGTATGCTATTTATTTAAGAAAAAAGGATATGCAAATATACATGTTGTATTTATAAAATAAATACATGAATCATAAAAAGTGTTTTAAGTTATTACTTCCAGGCAGGAAGGGAAGAGAAGGGAAAACAAGGATTTTTTAGAGTAAAGAAAGGGAGTTAGGGATGTATGAAAAGGTTTAGGGACTGGGGGTGTCAATCAGTGTTAGAGGGTGTGCTTATCATGTCTAAGGTCCTGGGATCAGTCCCCAGAACTTAAAAAAAAGGGAGGGGGGCTAAATAAAACCTTGAATTCCTAAATTTGAATTGGAAGTATCAGTATGAATTAATGATGCATTTTGTTAAAAAAAAAAACCAAACCAATATAACCTATCTCTGTCCAAAGACATGTATAGAAACCACAGAACTCCTTAACAGTATGACACAGGTTATGGTCTTTAAGGTTTGCTGCCAAAGGAAACAAAGTAAATGGCTTATGAGGGGAATGAGGTAAGAAATGTATAAAATGAGCCTGGAAAGCAATAAAAAGACTACTAGAGTTGTGTCAAAGACTCAGGAGCCAACCTGAATCAGCCCCTACTGGCCTAACATGAAACAATTTGGGTACCAATAGTAAAAATAAGTGTAATGGATTACATTGGATTCATAATGATAGCTATTCATTTGTAAGAGTTTTTGCCTAGCAGGAATGTTTTAAAAGTAGTATAAGATAATGATCTAATTTTATTTTCCACTAGAATAGCCTACTAGTCATCTTTTTTCACTAATATGTAATACATTGTCATTCTTTACTCTAAAAAATCAGACTACTATGTACATATATATGAGTCTCTCTCTTTTTTTTTTTTTGGTTCTTTACCTGCTTCCTTGTATATTTAAAAATATAAGTGCCTTAATTACTATGGCTTTATTATACAACATCTTTTTATTTTTAATTTTTTTTAGTTGTAGATGGATGCAATACCTTTACTTTATTCATTTATTTCTATGTGGTGCTGGAAATTTAACCCAGTACCTCACATATGCTAGGCAAACACTCTACCACTGAGCCACAACCCCAGCCCTATAACTTACCTTGTAGAATGTCTTTTCAATCCTATTTTTCTTCAAAATTGTCTTGAATTCTCTAAATAGTTTTTCTATATAAATATGAAATATGTTAGGATAGCAACCTCAGAAGACATATATAGCCTATTTTTAAAAAATTACCAGCTATGCTACATTGGCAATATGGGAAACAAATTTATTGAATATGTAACTAAATAAATGAAAAACTAGACTCCACGGACATATAAAAGTAATATATATGTAACAGCATATATGTAATACATATAAAAGTAATAGCACAAATAACAGTGATATTTATTTTACCTGAATGATATTACATATTTTTTTGAGGGGATATCTAAGGCTTTTGAGTTTTTGAAATGCAACATCTCCTCTATTATAGTATATTCATTATTTTACTTTTTTGGTCTGACAAGAACTGAAAAAGAGAATTAGTCTCAAATTCAGAATGAACAATTCTTGCTATCTATATTTTCCCACATATGTTACAAATGCACTGTAACTTTCCAAGACAAATAGTGACCTGAACTAAATATTGAATCACTATCAAGACTCATGTACATTTTTTGAAGTTTTTGGTCATTGGGGATCATGGCATTTCTTTTCTCTGAATCACAGACTGTCAGAAATACTTTCCTTTTACTATTAACATCGGAACAGAAGATGTCCTATTCTACGACTGACTGGGGTAGAAATGACACAGACCAGAAATGGGAAATGGTTCAGGGTCCTGGAATTCCCCTGGCTGCCTAATCAAGTGGCTTTTGAAATGTTTGCCCCCTGGGCTTCGCAAGAGAAAAGAAAGCATCTCATTTTATTGACATAGACTGCCTCGCAGAAATTAAAATATTGAAAAAGACGTCCCCTACAATACAACAAACACTGCATGCCATTGGGTTGGCACACTGCTAGAAAAGGTTAAGCCAAGGTTAGTTTTTTTTTTTTTTTCACTTACTATTTTCTGTCACTTAACTATTTAAAAGGGGTTTTGATAATGGCTTCTTCTGTGGTTCCACGAGTGTATATACACCATTTTATCCAAATATTCGAAAAATGTTGCGTGTGAGAACTATTTCATGTTGCTAGAGATTAGTTTTGAAAATAAAGACACTTTTCACATAATACAGAAAACCAAAACTTTAAAAGTAAACAAAATGTGATCGATGATAAAATGCACCAAGTCTAAATTAATCTGCTGCTGCTGTCATTTTCAACTTACACAGGCGGCTGCGGCAAGCTGATGCTATGTAGATGCACTGAGCTCAGAAAAACGGTTCGAATAATTTACTTTATTGAAAAAAAAGGGAAAAAATTCACTAAGACGGACTCATCCGTGCACTTGGTCACCTTAGACCAAAGGAGGCTTCACACCGTGGCAGTTTTGCCCGGGGCTGAAAGGATCCACGTACCCAGGCAGCCCGCGGGAAGGTCGTGAAACTTCCGGGACAATAGTATTCCCTCAGAGTTTCTCAAGATTCATACTCAACGCTCCCGGCGCGCACGTTTCTCTCACAATACTGTTAGGACAGAGAAGGGGGAACGTTAAAGATGTATCGCCAGGTTCAAAACCGAAACACTAAGTCGTAGCGGACTGCCGCCTTCCCGCGCCAACCGGCCGTTAAGTCCAGCAGGGTAAACACACAGCACCCCGCCCGCAAACATCCTTCCGGGTTGTTCCTCTTCCGGAAACAGAACGTGGGCTTCACCCAGATTCCTTGCCGTAGACTTCACGTACTTGCGCGGCACGTGATTCACGTCCCACGGCAGGACGTACTGACGTCACCGTGCGTCAGCGTTGGCCCAGCTGGGGTTTGGGTTTTGGGAACCGCAGAACGCCGCGGAGGTAGTCGTTACCCGTCTCTGTTTCGCTTAGACGCAGTTGCTTTCCTGGTGTGAGGAGGTCTTCTAGCAGCCGCCCTGCCTTTGTGCTTTCAGCGCTGGTACTGTGGTGAGTGCACCCCTTTCGGGGCGGCGAGGACCCACTGCCCCGAAGGTGCGGCCGGGTGGAAAGCTGGGCCTGGGGCCGCTCCCCCAAACGTCGAGGGTCGCTCTTTCTAATCTCGCTGTAGCTTTTTTTTCCGGAAACCTCAGTTGCAAGACTTGCAGTCGAAAGGGATATATTTTTAAATGACTTGTTTTCAAGCTGACTGAGCCCTTGGACTTTGACCAAAGTGTTTTCTGTAAGAATTTTTGCAAGATTTTAAACTTGGCCCTCAGTATTTAATATTTTGAAGACAGTTGTGTGGCGGCGAGATATCATATTTCAGATAGTTGTAACTGTGCTCTGTCACCTAAGTAATCATATTCTGGGTTCTGAGAAATAACTCGGGGGAAATTAATGGGTAAATCCCATAGTTTCTTTTGTTTTCCCTTCCAGTCTATGCCCCGCCCAGCTACATTTTGCATAAAGAGAGCAAAATCAATACGGCTCTGTGTAAATAAAAATCTATAACTTAGAATATAAGAAAGGATCAAGAATGTAGCTCAGGGGTGGAGCGCTTGCCTAGCATGAAGGAGGTCTGGGTTCCATCCCCAGTACCTCAAAAAGGGAAATTTTCACACACACACACACACACACACACGACCTGGTGGAATTAAGACAGTTTTATAAGTCGTCATGGCCAAGGCCAGTGTGTTACAGATGATTGTATTTTTTGTTTTTGAGTTGCTTTCTGTGGTTGTTCCTTTGGAATTGCGAGGCAATGTTAGTGTTTCAGGATTTATTAGGTTAATGAGCTCCTCCTGATGCCTTTTACCCTGAGTGGGCTAGGCAGTGACTGGGCATTGAAAAATAATGTCTGACTTTTTTCGGTGCTGTCACTAAACAGGTGTAGTGGTATCTCTTATTTTTCAACACTGTTCCATTTTGTCTCCAACAAAGTGCCAGACATATTATCTTTATGAAAAGGGAGGGAGACCAAGAACAAAATGTTTTTCTGTTAGGAAAATGTGCTTCTGTCTTTAAAATTGTACATTTAAAAAGATGTCTAGTTCATGGTGTGGGGTATATTGCATGTATCTATACAAGAGCTTTTCTAATTGGAAAGTTTTGGTGACAAATTGCTGGAATTCAGATGTATTATATAAAGCATAGATCATTCTTAGACTTTACTGAATAAATTGAAGAGTGTCTAAGTTCTATGTGCCATGCAATTATAGTTTTCTAAAATACCTTTTTTTTTTTGTTCTTTTCAGATGTACAGCCCTGAAGAGTTCCCCCCTATTCATTTTTTCCCCCTGCAGAAATGAATCTCATTATGGAAAGTGCAAAGCTTTATAAAGGGATAAAGTTTGAATTTTATGGAGTGTAATTTTGTGTATGAATCACATTTTTAATATATAGTTTTCATAAAGAAAGCTAGTAAATTCTGGTACATTCTGTGTAAACATTAATTCTATTAGTAATATAGTGTTAGGCATTTGTGATAACAAAAGAGCTGTCTTGATAAATTGATTCCTCATTTATCATGACTGATACCATATCTGAATGGTCCTTAAATGAAAATCAGTTTATTTAAAATTTTTAATGCAATATAGAAAGTGTGTGTTGTGGAAATTTTATGGCTGATTTTATGGAGAAAATACCGTCAGTTGACCAGGTATAATAAAGAGATATGCACAGTTAAGAAGAAAGACATTGTGATACTGCAGGAAATAGAAACAAAATAGATAATGTTTAGCAAAGGTAGAGGAGTTAACAGTGAGCTTTAAACAATATTCATTTGACATCTCTTATAACAGGTGTGGGACACAATAAGGCTTTGGGTGTTGACTTCCCCAAAAGTTGTTGGCTGAAGCTAACATAATCCACTTAAGTCAATTCTGTGATAAGTTGTGTGCAGTTAGCTTTTAAATAATGTGACCCTTTGAAAATTTTAATTACTTATTTGCTAGAATAAGATGGGATTATTTTGGATTTCACAGTAAAGTGCTTGTAAAGGGGAAAAAAGCCTAAATTTAACTTTACTTTTGTGGCATAAACAGTAATTGTCCTTATATCTAGACTTTATAGCTTGTAACCAAAAGCAAATTAAAAAACATAATTTATGTATTCTATAGTTACTTAGAATTTTGAGAATATAAACTTCTTTGAAAAATAGTTTTAATACCTTTAGAAGTGTGTAAACTTTTTTCAGGCCTTTAAGTCAGTTATTATACCAAATTGTGAGCAAAAAGCGTGTAGGTTACTTAAAAGTGTTAATAGAATCCCAAAGTACTCATAAGTATCTTGGTAATTTAGGAGAGATATAAATCTAGTAAAAGAAGGTATGGTGGTTCAACTAAATAGAAGTCTTTGATTTCTTTTTGTGGTAAAAAGTGACAAGAAATTGTATGTGAAAGTTTTAGTCATCAAAAAGTACTTCTTTCTACTCATGCACAAAACTACCTCCAAAGAGTTATCCAAGATCCCTTGCATCAAAAAATAAGGAGTATAATGGAAGACAGCACAATCTTGTCAAATTGGACAAATAACAACAAACAAACAATGAAGTATGATTTTTCATGTGAGCTCTACAGAATGTCTACATATTCAACTTTCCCCATCGGTGTTCCTGTTTCAGAAAGGAGTCTTGCTCGTGCTGGTTTTTATTACACTGGTGTGAATGACAAAGTCAGATGTTTCTCTTGTGGCCTGATGCTGGATAATTGGAAACAAGGAGACAGTCCTATTGAAAAGCATAAACAGCTATATCCTAGCTGCAGCTTTATTCAGAATCTGGTTTCAGCTAGTCTGCAAGCCACCTCTAAGAATACCTCTCCCTTGAGAAACCATTTTGCACATTCATTATCTCCTAGTTTGGAACGGAGTGGCTCATTCAGCGATTCTGTTTCCTGCCTTTCACCGAATCCTCTTAATTCTAGAGCTGTGGAAGACTTCTCTCCTTTGAGGACTAACCCCTATAGTTATGCAATGAGTACTGAAGAAGCCAGATTTCTTACTTATAATATGTGGCCCTTAACCTTTTTGTCACCATTGGAATTGGCGAGAGCTGGCTTTTACTATGTAGGACCTGGAGATAGGGTAGCCTGCTTTGCCTGTGGTGGGAAGCTAAGTAACTGGGAACCAAAGGATGATGCTATGTCAGAACACAGGAGACATTTTCCCAACTGTCCGTTTTTGGAAAATTCTCTAGAAACGCTGAGGTTTAGTATTTCAAATCTGAGCATGCAGACACACACAGCTCGAATGAGAACATTTATGTACTGGCCAGCTAGTGTTCCAGTTCAGCCTGAGCAGCTTGCGAGTGCTGGATTTTATTACGTGGGTAAGAAAAAAATAGCTATATGCTTTTCTAATTTTTTTCCCCTAATTTGTTTTTACTTATGTGTTAGAACATGTGTATAGTCGATTTTTGGTCCTTTTTTTCCATTTAGATCGCAATGATGATGTCAAATGCTTTTGTTGTGATGGTGGCTTGAGATGTTGGGAATCTGGAGATGATCCATGGGTAGAACATGCCAAATGGTTTCCAAGGTAATATATATATATATATTTTTTTTCCTCCCTTTTCATTGCTGGGATACAGGGTCCTTGAACATGCTAGGTTTACACTTTTACCACTGAGCGTTAGCCCAAGTTTCTGTCAATGTGTTTTGAATATGCATTCCTACATAAAACTCGGGGCTTAAGTTTACTTTTATATATAACAAAGCCTCATCATGGGTGATTAGTCTTTCAAAAGACCAAATTAAAATGTTTAATCTTTTTGTGTACTTTTCTTCTTTTGTAAGAAGCCATGCACTCTGGATATAATTTAACTTATTTTTGTGACTCATTTGATAGAGCACGAGCGAGCTACAGTGACATACTTCCTTTAGCTATGCTTACTGTCCATAGTTACTACCCAGGAGTCTATTCAGATTATTAAACAAATGGATTAATCCACTTACGAGGTCAGAACTCTCATAATCCCAGTTTTTTGCCTTTGAACATGCCTAACATGAATTTTGGGGGACCTTTCATCCAAATCACAACAGTACTCCTTATATACTGACACCTCATTATCTCCTACTCCTGCCAGTTACCTGCTGGCAACTTCTTTCTGTCTTTATAAATTTGACTATTCTAGGTACCACCTGTAAGTGGAATCATGTGATATAGATAATGTTTTCACCTGTGAATGCGTTTCACACTAATGAAGAATATCTTGCAACATTTCAGCAAATTATCCTTTTTGTCATTTTTGTCTGATACCTGATGAAAAAGAAGTTGAGGGCTGTACATATAGCTCAGTGGTGGAACTCTTGCCTAGCATGCTCAAGGCCCTGGATAGTCTGCCATGGTACCAAAAAAAGAAAGAAATATCTGATTATGCATCAGTACATTGTTAAAAATTGTACTTTGTATCATCACTATTCATTATATATGATGTAAATTTTGATTTTTTTACTCTGAAAAATGATAGTTAAAATTATAATGTAAGACAAAACACTTTAATTTGAAATTTACTGATATTACAATATCAAAAATTGCTTTCAAATTTCAGTGTTTGAATTGCTACATTTTGTGCTTTGTAAAGCAAAACGAAATTCTTAAATTTGTATATTGTGTTTAGTTTTAAATGGCTAGCAAAGGAGAAGACTTGGGAGTGCTTTTTGGTAAATACTTTCCTGAAAACAACAGGTTTTAATTGTGAATAATCTTTACTCTCAGTAAATGAAAAACCACAATGGATAATTATTATCACTGTAGTTTAGCACAGTTCACTTACTCATTTGTCAAATATTTAGGTACTGTTTAGAACTATTTTAGATGCCAGAGATGTATCAGACAAATTTCTACCTTCATGGAGTTTATTGGAGAAGGGAGAAATATGGGGCAGCAGGGTTTATTATACTTCATGTCTTTAACCATTAGAAATATACAGTAATCAATTCAACAGTAAAAATAAATTAAAGTTATATGAAGGTCAGGCATATAAGACAACTAGCTGTGTCGTCTACGTGATGAACTTGAATCTTTAGTGTGTTTATATGTTCTCTACTAACTTCTAGTGTGTGGCTAATACTTTTCAGAGTATTCTGTTTTAAAGGGGAAGGAAATTTTTGTTTATTTTTAAAAAAGGTTTGTTGAGTTATAATTTACATATAGTTCACTTTATGAGTTTTAATGCACTGAGCCATATAATTAGTACTGCAGTTAGAACATATAGAACATTTCCATCAACCCATAAATTTGCTGAGTAGAACTTCAGTGTTCTCATGAACAGATTTTTGATTATTGACTTAATCTCTTTACTAGTTATAGATGCATTCACATTTCTACTTCATGATTTTAATCATGGTAGGTTATAGTTTCTAGAAATTTGCCCATTTCTTGATTGTCCAGTTTTTTGTTGTATAGCAGTTCATAGCAGTTTCTTATGAGTTTTTATGTTTCTGTGATAGCAGTTGTGATGTCTCCTCTTTCTGATTTTGTTTGGGTCGTCTCTCTTTTTTTCTTAGTTTAGCTAAAGCTTTGTTGATTTTGTTTATCTTCTCAAAACACCCATCTTTTGTTTTCTATTATTTTTAAAATAGTCTGTTTATTTTTATTCTGATCTTTTTTATCTCCTTTCATCTGTTAATTTTGATCTGATTCTTTTTCTAGTTCTTTGAGATATAGGGTTAAGTGTTGTTTTTTTTTTTTAATATGGGTATTTATTTTAGAACTGCTTCTTTAATGAATCCTATGAATTTTGGTATGTTATATTTGAATTTTTGTTTTTGTCAAGATTTAAAATTTTTTTCCATTTCTTCTTTGATCCATTGGTTGTTGAGGTACAAAGTGTACTGGCTTTTATGATTATTTCATACTAGTATGATCTGTAAAGATACTTGAAATGATTTTAGTCATCTTGAATTTGTTGTGACTTGTTTTGTAATCTAACTTATGATCTGTCCTGGAGAATTTTCTTAGTGTGGTTGAGAAGAATGTAGATTCTTTTGCTGTTGGGTGAAGCCCTCTGTATGTCTATTTGGTTCTGTTTGGTCTGATGTGTAGTTCAAGTCCAACATTTGCTTACTGATTTTTCTCTCTGGAGGATCTATCCATTTTTGCGAGTATGGTATTAAAATCTCCTACTGTTGTTATATTGGTATCTATTTCTGTTAAGACCTTTGTCTTATGTTACAGTTTAAATATAACTATCCCTGCTTTCTTTTGATTTTTATTTGCATAGAATTTTTTTTCTACCTTTACTTCCAAATTGTGTGTTCTTACAGGTAAACTGACTCTGTTGTAGATTTTTATCCACTCAGCTACTCTGTGTGTTTCGATTGAAGATTTTAATCCATTTACATTTAAACTAATTGTCAGTATGTAAGGACTTACTATTGCCATTTTGCTAATTGTTCTCTGACTGGTAGTTCTTTTATTTCTCTGTTGCTGTCTTTCTTTGTGATTTGATGATATTCCACGTGTGCTTTGTTTTCTAACTCTGCATCTTTTGTTACCAACTGTAGGTTTTTGCCTTGTGGTTGCTGTGAGACTTATGTAGAACATGTTATAAACATAACAGTCTATTATAAACCAACAGTTTAATTTCAGTTGCATACAAAAATTCTCCCCTTTTGCTCTACCTCCTCCCCCTTACGTTTTATGGTTTTGATAGTATTACATCTTTCTTTACTACATGTCCATTAACAAGCTATTGTAGCTATAGTTATTTATATATACATATATGTTTATTTATATAAATAACTTTGGGCTTTGTGCTTGCTGGGCAAGCACTCTATCACAGCCATACTCCCAGCCCCTTTTTTCTTTTTGACCATTATATATTAAAGTGACTTATATATAGTCATTACACATTTTGAGTATTCAGAATTTTATTGCATTATTTATCTTTTTTTAATATATATATTTTTAGTTGTAGGTGGACACAATATCTTTATTTTATTGATTTATTTTTATGTGGTGCTGAGGCTTGAACTCAGTGCCTCACCCATGTGGGACAAGCACTCTACCACTGAGCTACAACACAGCCCTGCATATTTATCTTTACCAGTAAATTTTAAACTTTCATGTGCTTACACGTTACTAATTAGTATCCTTTTATTTCTGCTTGAACTCTTGGACATTTCTTAAACCATTGGTTTGGTTTTGTTTTGCCTTTTTTTCCTCCCTCTCTATTTTTTGTGGTGCTGGCCATCAAACCCACAGCCTCATGCATGCTAAGTACATTACCTATAATTGAACTATATCCTTAACCCTCTAGTATTCCTTGTAAGGCAGATTTAGTGGTATGAATTCCCTCAGCTTTTTTGTCTGGTAAACTGTATGTCTCTTTCATGTTTTTGAAACAGACATTTGCCAGGTAAAGTCTTGATTTGTAGGTTTTTATTTCCTTGAACTCTTTCTTGACCTTCAGAGTTTCTGCTGAGAAATCTGCTGGTAGCCTTTTGGGGTTCCCTTGTATGAAATGCGTATCTGTTCCCTTGCTGCTTTTAAAATCCTCTCTTGACATGGTGGCATTCCCCTATAGTTCCAGGTGTTGGAGGCTGAGGCAGGAGAATTGCTTGAGTCCAGGAGTTCAAGGCCAGCCTGGGCAACATAGTAAGATCTCACCTCTACCAAAAAAAACAGTTCTCACTTCATTTTTGATTTTTGACAGTTTATTTTAACATGCCCCAGTCCTCTTTGGGTAGAATGTGTATGGGGACTTCTGAACTCCCTGTGCCTGGACATCCATCTGTCTCCCTAGATTTAGGAAGTTTTCAGCTCTTCTCTAATCTTTTTGCCCATTTTGCTTTGAACTTGTGATCCCCCTTCCTCAGCCTCCTGAGCCATTGGTATAACAGGCATGCGCCACTGCACCCATCCTCATTTTTTTTTTTTTTTAATTATAACTTTTTTTGGTGGGGAGTAGCCTTGCATGTGTCCTGTGTGTTTTTTTGTTTGTTTGTTTTTGTTTTAATTTTTTTTCTTAGTTGGATTGGCCACAATACCTTTATTTTATTTATTTATTTTTATGTGGTGCTGAGGATTGAACCCAGTACCTCACACATGCTAGGCAAGTGCTCTACCGCTGAACCACAACCCCAGCCCTATGTCCTGTGTGTTTATTGGCACAATTAACTCTTGTAGACTTTCTGTACTGATTTTGTTGAGGAAATATCTTTATCTAGGGTGAGTGTGATAGCTTTGACTCTGTAGGATGCCTAGTGGCATAGTCTCTATATGACTCTGTTAGCTGAAGTCATTATGAGTGAGGAGTGCAAGGATCCTGTATCCAAGGAAGCAGCAAGGGTTGTTTGGGTCTTTGGTGGCAAAGTTGCTGGAGACTGGATTTCTTTTTCTCATGGGAAGTATCATGGCCAGTAGCATCTCTCTTGGCACCAATTCTACTCTCTTGGGCAGATTAAAATAATAAAACCTTTTCATTTATTTAACAGTGGCTTTTGAAGAGCAGATGCTTTTAATTTTGTTGGTGTCATTTTTTCAATTTGTTTCTTATGGATTATGTTTTTGATCTTTTATTAATTTTTTTTCTTTTTTTTCATGCTGGGGTTTTTCTGTTTTCTACTAGAAGTTTTATTGTTTTAGGTCTTTCATTTAGAAACTTGATCTATTTTTAGTTTATTTTTGCATATGATATGAGCATCAGTCAAAGTAGGGTTTTTTGGCATATGGATATCCAGTTATTTAACACCATTTGTTTAAAAAAGAAATAGAATGGTAGTAGATGTTAAATGAACTGCTTCCTGGAACAACTTTGAGAAGCTGTAGTAATTTAAAGACAAGTGTTTGAGAAACACAGTGTATGTAGATGAAAATATTTGATTTTATGTTTTCCAGAGGGAATATGGTAGATTGTGCCTCAAATATAATTGAAGAGTAAACGTTATCGAAAGTTTAGCAGTTAATATAATATGAAAGATAAAATTTTAGGAATACTGATTTACAATTTCTGTAATACTGTTAAGCTTGATAAGCAAGTTGTGTTTACAGTTTTTCAGCTTATGCTCCTTTCTAGGTTGATATCTCTGGTGTGTTAATTGAATGATAGAAAATATCAGAATATATCACATATTAAGAATGTGTATGTTTTATGATAATATTGTTTCTTTAAATGTTTTTGCTATGAGTTGTTATCAAATAGGTTTGAAAGCTACTTTTCTAGAATAATCAGATTATGCTTTTGGTATGAAACAATATTTAAACATATTTTTCTTATGTTTTAGGTGTGAGTTCTTGATACGAATGAAAGGGCAAGAGTTTGTTGATGAGATTCAAGCTAGATATCCTCATCTTCTTGAACAGGTAGATATATTTCTAAAATTAATAATATTGAATTCTGCTATGTGATAATTACAGAAATATTATTAGAAGTGATATTTACTTCTATTTGCTTATTAATTCTAGTTACATAGTTTATGTCTGTACTAATAACACCTGGTATTTAATTTTGTTACCAATGTGTTTGTTCAGGGCTCTTTAAAAAATATTGTTTTTAGTTTTTTTTAAAATTTTCATCCTACCACTGAATAAATTTGCAATGGGGTTGAAGAAGGATTTTAGTGGCTTTATTTTTTTCCAGGAAACAAACAGAAAAATAACTTGTTAGAGGTTGAGATCTTTTGATAGTAATCCAGTTCAAACCTTACGGTCCAAATAGAATGAGAAAACATTACTATATCTTCTTACTCCTGAGGTGGGAGAAATACTTGAATTCTAATTTGGAATTGAGTGAAGTTTAAGGAAGGATACATAATTATGGTAAAACAAAGTGAAGTATGTGAATTACCTGGTTTTCAAAAGAGCATATACATTTATTTAAAGTAAACTTATTGTAGTGCTACTGTTCAGATTGTTTTGAGATTACTGATTTTACCTTTTAACTTTTCTCCTGTTTCATAGCTGTTGTCAACTTCAGATACTACTGGAGAAGAAAATGCTGAACCAAGTATGTGTGAAAGCATTTCATATATAGAATGAGAATGTTTATAAGAATGTTAGGAATGAAAATATGTTTTAAAAAGAAAAGAACAAGGGGATGTTTCTGAAGCCGCAGGAAAAAATGCTGGGAAATCAACAAATATTATGTACATACTAAGATTCATGACATATTAAAGGATTATAAGAAGTTTTCCAGTATTTAAAGTACTGATAATTCCAACTGGGAGACAAGACACATGCAAACAACAACAATAAAAAACAGCTCAAAGCAAGGTCAAGTGAGAGGTACAGATATGTCCTCGGAAGAGGAAAAGATTGTTGTGACTACCATGATTTAGAAATGGCCCAGTTTACATTTGAAGTAAGAATCAAGTTAGATGTTAGGTATTAAAGTCAGATATATAATATTTCAGTGCAAGGATATCTTTGAATTAGAACTTAATTTTAGCCATATCTGTTAGTATTTAAATGTATATATGTACATACATTATGTGTCCAAAATTATTAAAATAGTATACCGTTTTATGTACTACTCACATCTGCAAAGGGGTACACTCTGTTCTTTGCACAACATTTCAAGGGGAATTTGCAGATTTGTAACTGAAACAGAGAAAAGTGACCAAGATATGTGAGTACTAGAAACTGACTTAGAAGGACTAGATAAAGGATTAGGTAACATTTGAACAGAAGGAGTATCTTGGTACATGGTAACTGTCTCCTGTAATGGAGCTGGGAGAGATCAGATAAGTCATGGTACTCATTGTTATTTAAAATTTGTAAACACAGCTGTCAAGTGGACTGCCCTGCAATCTTGCTGCAGTTCCCTAATAAAAATCACTTTGCCAGTCTTCAAAATGGCTATCTCACAAACAGAGCCACCAATCTACATTATATATCTATATTTTTCTTTCTGTTCTTCTATAAAACATGAATTGTTCTTGTCCTTAATCTAAGACTGACCCTTTTCCTTATTCTCTGGATTCTTCCCCCTTCCTACCAGTACTGGGGGATTGAACCCAGGGTACTTTTACCACTAAGCTGCATCCCCAGCCCTTTTTATTTTTTATTTTGAGACAGGGCCTCACTAAATTGCTAAGGCTGGCCTTAAACTTGCAATCCTCTTGCCTCGGCTTCTCGTGTCACTGGGGTTACAGACATGCACCACTGTGCTGGCCTCATTCTCTGGATTCTGTTATGATGTTGCTTTGGTAGTGATTTGCCTTTGTCATAATCACAGAGAACTGCTGTTAGCAAGTTATGATCTGTTAGTTAGCTTTTGATGTAGTTGAATGCTTTATCCTATTTTTTTTCTTCCTGTTTTTGTTTTTGCATCCCGCTGCCCCTTGTAACATTCCACATACTCTGCCCACATAGCAGGACCTAAGCCTGTACCCGCCCTGTGCCTGTGCTTTGCCCTCCTTAACATATCCTCTTTCTTAGCTTCCTTGATATTAGACTCTTGGTTTTCTCCTATTTTCTTCATTGATCATGAACAGTTTTCTTTGCTGCTTGCTTTTTCTCATTTCTAAATGACGGAGTACCCTTCCTGTTTAGCCCAAATTTCTTTCTTTTTCCTAGCTCCAGCCTATAATGTTCAACCATCTGTTTAAATTGCAAAAATACTTCCCATCTTATAAGGTGTATCAGAGTTAATATTGCAAAGCAAACATTTCTCCTCATCCTTTATTCCTCAGATTTGCTTCTTTTCTGGTCTTCCCCATCTCAGTTAATTGTACTTAATTAATGGTATTTGCTAAGGTTAAAAGTTCTTAGTTTGTGTATTTAATCTATTAGGAGTCCTTATTTCTGTCTTCACAACATATTCCAAATATGACTGCTTTGTAACCATCTCTGCCACTATCAACCTAATCCATAATATCATCATCTGTCATAATATTTTAATAGTTTTTCCTGTTATTCATTTTACCTTATTTTCCACAAAGCAACCTGAGTCACTTTTTGAAAACAAAACAATTTTATCAATCCTCAGCTTAAAGCCCTCCTAGAATATTCTAACAAACTTAGAAAAAAAACAAAAGCTAAATTTCTTATGGGCCTCTATATCATCTGGGCATTGTCCTCTGTGATCTACCACCTTCCCTTTCTTGACCATGTCAAGCTTTTCCCTTGTTTTAAGGCTTTTGCACTTGATTCTGTTGAGAGACTTCTTTTCAGGTATTCCAGTAGCTCACTCTTTCCTATCATTCAGGTCTTTGGTTTTGTTTTTATGTGCTGGGGGATCAAGTCTTTGTTTTGAAGTTTTTTCTTCAGATAGGGATTCCACATGGATTTGAACAAAGTTGTTCAGAATGCTTTTTTGACAATGTATGTTTTATGTTTATTGGAACAATTTTCCAGCAGATGGCAGTAAAGTTTCTTTAAGAAGTATAGCTGTAATTTCACAAAATGCCATATGAACTAGCATTTACCCTGTTACTAGAAAATGCTTCCCCAACTACCCTCTCTAAATGGCCTCCTGCCTCCTACTTTCTTTTTTAATCACTTATTTTTTTTCCTTCAGAGAATCTGTTTCTATATAAAACCATATTACTTGCTTACTATTTTAACCACATTTTTTATTACTACTTTACATACATTTTTGGGTGAACCAGTCTTCTATTTTATTACACTTTTTCATTTTATATTATTTGGTTCCAGCTATCCACAAGCTGGATAGTTTCTTTTCATTCTTCCTATGAATACTCTTTTTTTTTTGGCGGGGGGATGCTTAGGGTTGAATGCAGGGCCTCATGCATACTTGGCAAGTGCCTGGAGATAATTTTTCACTTTTGTTTTTATAGCATATTGTTTTCCAAAAATGAATATATATGAGAATCATTTGGGTGAATTTTTAAACCGTAAAATTCCTTTCTCAGGTATGGTGGCAGAGGCCTGTAATCCCAGTGACTCAGAAGGCTGAAGCAGGAGGATTGCAAATTTGAGGCCAACCTGAGCAACTTAACCAGACCCTCTCTCAAATAAAAAGGGCTGGGGTTGTGATAAAGTGGTAGAGCACTCCTGGATTCAATCCTCCATACTGGAAGAAAACAAAAAAGAAAAATTCAAATTCTTCAGCCTTTTTTCCTAGAGAGTCCTTCATTAAATAGGTCTAGGTTGTAGTCTGGTAAGTGGTATTTTTAAAAGGTATACCATATTAATTAGCCATTATCGAGTTCAGATTTTTAATAGAGTTATAGGTAAATTGATGCATATAATTCATCTTCCTGACCAGGATGTGAGAATAAAGGTTATGTCATAGTCATTTTTTCCCCATAGTTTATGGAATTTAATACCTTATGTGGAATTAAATATTAGCAAATGTCTTTTCTAATAGTTGTTCATTTGGGACCTGGAGAAAGTTCTTCAGAAGATGCAGTCATGATGAATACACCTGTGGTTAAATCTGCTTTGGAAATGGGCTTTAGTAGAAGTCTGGTAAAACAGACAGTTCAAAGTAAAATCCTAACCACTGGAGAGAATTATAAAACAGTTAATGATATTGTATCAGCACTTCTTGATGCTGAAGATGAAAGAAGAGAAGAGGAGAAGGAAAGACAAGCTGAAGAAATGGCATCAGGTATTTTGGAATGTTAATTATCTACATTATTTTTCAGTGAAGTTACTGTCTCATGTTGCAGGACAGCATCCTTTTCTCGTACCCACTTACTGCTGGTAACAATTCTTAGGCGTTTCTAAACTATATCTTCTCTACTACCTCTCTCAGTTGCTTCTACTTGAGAACCACTGACTATGGCATTTTTCTGTATGATTATTTCCTGTTAAGATTCTCTAAGTTATACTAATCAGAATTTTTAACAAAAGCTCTTTTCTTGAGCAATATTACATTTCTTCTTCATACATAACAAATTTTAATCATTTTTAAAGGCAAGATTTTAAAATTGGCTGCAGATATTACTTCTACTTTTAAAAAAAGTTCCTTCAAATAATATTCTTAATATATTTTTCTCACCAACCCTTGTTTAAGAGATCCTTTTATACACATAAAAGGATCTCCTAAACAAGGGAACTTAGAATGAAATCCTAGGGTTTGATGAGAACCTTCTGCCCAACCCGAGGATTGTATGGAACTGATTTTGGTATTCATCTAGATTGTTTTAAGTCTCAGCCTCAGAACAAGTAATCATATATTCCTTAAACCAGTATTTGTTGCATATAAACATCAGTGCTAATACTGTGCTAATCTTGGTGATTGTTCTCAAGGAGCATGTAGATTAGCTGGGAAGAATCATATGCAAACGACAGGATTAAAGAGCTAACAAAGATAAATGTTGCATAATGTAGTTTAAATTGCAGTATTGGGTTGTAAGAGACTGTTCTTTTTAAGCTTGTAAAGTAGTTAGGAATAATTTAAGTCACCCTTATTGTGTGGCCATGGAGCAAAATGTTTAAGACCCGTGGATTGAAATAGATTTGTGTTTAAATTCTGGCTTTTTTTTCAGTTACTAAGTTAGCAGTTCGTTCAGCTGTAAGTCAGCTTTCTGATCTGTAAAATATGGACAGTAATAGTACCTATCCCGCAGAGGTACTGTAGGAATTAAGTGAGATATTTCTAGTAAAATACTTGAGCACAGTGCCTGGCACATAAAATTTCTTTTCTGTTAATTTTTTATTGTTGTTTTGGTGCTAGCAATTGAATCCACAGCTTCATGCATGCCAAACATGCAACACTACCACTGAAGTACACATCCAGCCCACCTTTTAAGTATATTGATTTGGAAAGTACAAGTGGCTGGTAAAAGAAAGGATCTGAGGAAAGTGACAAGATTTAAGGATTATAAAGCAGTTAAGCTCATGTAGAATTACTGTTGTCAGTGTACTTACCTTAATTTTGTGTCTCCAACTTTGTGTATGTTTCAGAATAGTCTTGAATTATAGATATGGGAAGGTTTATATGTGAAAGGTCAAATAAGGAACAAGGTAAAGAGCTAAGTGTGCTAATCAGAGAACATCATTGGAATAACCTAACTGATCTGTAGATTGGAATGGGAAATAAACAAAACCAAGAGCTAGCTCTTGTGCTAGTAGAATTGGGAATGATGTGGGGATTTTGAAAAAATAAAGAACAAATTTGTTAGCAGTGAGGCACAGGTTGTGGTCAGAGAAGGAAATTTCATAGTTTTAAAATGAATAGAGCTGTTCATTTCTAGAAAGTTGTAAATGGGGAAGGAAACTGGACTTCTCTTTTTATAATTTATTTCTAATGAGATTTATACCTTATAGCAGTGTACTTTAAAAAAATGTTTTAAGTCTGAAAATAAGCAGCTTTATAGTGATTGGGGCTCCAAAAGGAAGAATTATGAATAATACCATAGCAACTTATATTCCATAATAGTAAATTACTTATGAAATTTTATGTGATTTGAGATTAAAGGAGAAACATTTGCTTTTTAATAAAATCAAGCTTGATTCATATGTAATTTATTTAAAAATTGCTATAAATGTAGACAGTTTATTTAAAAAAAAAGAACAGCCAACTATGTGCCAGATATTGTACTAAATTCTTTTTGTACATTAATCCTCAAAACTCCAATAGACTGTTATTTGTATTTTACAGATGAGGAAGTTGATTGAGGTATATGGATGGAGATGTTAGAGAACTTGGCCAGTAAGTTGCCAAGCTTGCATGGGAACCTAAGTCTTATCTTGACTTTGTAGCTGAAGCTCTGCAAAATTATAGTTCTGCTTTCTGAGTATAAGATATTTAAAAGAACCACTGGTGTAAGACACCTGGTTTTGCAGCTTATTCTGGACAAGCCACTCATTCTTTTCTGAGTCTTTTTCTCTATCTGAAAATGGAAGGCAGTAATACTTGCCTTGTTTGATTGTTAGGGTATATGTATCAGATGAAACAATTGATATGCAAATGCTTAAAAAAGTAAAGTGATATAATGTAAATAGAAGTATTATTGATTCCATGGTGAGACAAATTCAGAGGTGAGAAACGTTTACTACCTTTATATTTGCTGCTTACTGTCAACAGAATAAAGAAAACGGGGTTCTAATATGTGTTAGTATCTCAACTTTAAAATTATAGAAATAGAGACCGTTATTTTCTCTATTGTTTTATAATCTTCTGGAAGTTTTCCAAATGACAGACTTTAGAATGCAAATAAGTCATTTTGTTCTTTTTCAAGCCCTGTTCAGTAGAGTTAGTTGTTAATGACTATATGATTGTAGTGGAGGAGTTTAATGGATTTTTTTTTTCTTTCTTTTTTTAAATAAAGATGATTTGTCATTAATACGGAAGAATAGAATGGCTCTTTTTCAACAGTTGACATGTGTCCTTCCTATCTTGGATAATCTTTTAAAGGCCAATGTAATTAATAAACAGGAACATGATATTATTAAACAAAAAACACAGATACCTTTACAAGCAAGAGAACTGATTGATACCATTTTAGTTAAAGGAAATGCTGCAGCCAACATCTTCAAAAACTGTCTAAAGGAAATTGACTCTACATTATATGAGAACTTATTTGGTGAGTTTGTTGGGAAAATCATTTTAAGAAATCCTTAGCATTATGTTAATGTTTCTGACAAGCAGAATAAATCCAATTAAAATATTTAACTTCTGCACCAAAGGTGGTGTCTTTTATTGTCCTAGTAATATACCTAAATGTAATAGTTCTTGATAATATATAGCTTTCTGTAATGATATTTGTATCCTTCATTGGATAGTATGTGAAAAAAAATTAAACAGTTTTGTATTTACCTTCATAGAATGATGATTTTTGTATGCTTTTCTTTCCTCAGTGGGAAAGAATATGAAGTATATTCCAACAGAAGATGTTTCAGGTAAAATAGATTTAAGACTTAAAACTTATGTGAAATATTAACCTTTTTTTTTGTATCAGATGTAAAGTGAAAACTGAATTTCACTAAAGTTCTTTTTGTTATTAGGTCTGTCGCTAGAAGAACAGTTGAGGAGATTACAAGAAGAAAGAACCTGCAAAGTGTGTATGGACAAAGAAGTTTCTATTGTGTTCATTCCTTGTGGTCATCTGGTAGTATGCCAGGAGTGTGCCCCATCTCTAAGAAAATGTCCTATTTGCAGGGGTATAATCAAGGGTACTGTTCGAACATTTCTCTCATAAAAGAATAGGCTATATTTTAGTCTTTACCAAAAAGCCTTTAAGCTGTTGTTGAACATTGCAAGCCATCTAAAATTAAAACAAGGAATGTTTGGTTCTTTATTTAGTAACATTTATGTTCTATTCTATTTAGGTATGAATAATCTTATTTCAAAAAGAGATAGTATTGTATATTTAATCTTAATTCGTTTAGTTGTAAGAGAAGACTTGTTTTTCATGAACTAAATCAGTATGTAAGTGTGAACACAGGAAGAATTAAAGGAGTAGTGTCAGTGTTGTTATGGGTCATTTCAGGAGTTACTGGATTTGGTATTTATGAAAGCTTTGAGTACTACATTACAGTATAGTTGAAAAACTGTAAATTAGTAACACTGGAATTCATCAGAGTTGTTAACAGATTCTTTGGTGCTTTTCACTTGTTTTGTTAAGTAAGGATTTTTCTGTTACTGATAAACAATATTTCCCCTAACCTGTGAGAAACAATAAAATGCTTTATAATTATTGTATCATCAAAATTTATTTTTTTTACCCTATTATAAAAAGTAATTTTCATCTGTGTTTACTCATTTGCTATGAAGTAAAAAATTGAATTCATGAAACAAATTATTGTTTTTTAAATATGATTCATGGGAATTCCTTTAAAAGACAATATAGTTGCTTTGTATAATATAGATAAAATGTTGGATTAAAACTGAATCATTATCAAAAACTCATAGTAAAATTAGATAAATCTACATTTATTTTTTTAAAATAAAAAATAGCTTTGTTGCATAGGTGTTGATAGGGTGAGCAGATAAGAAATGGACAACTGTAGGTACCTCCTTTTTGGCACAAGCCTATTTGACCTTTCTTACATCTAACTCTCTGGCAGACTTTGGAGGCAAGGTAGATAGGAGGTTTAGTGTTTAAAAACTCCATTTTCCTTTCTCCACTAGTCTTTTAGATTTCTTCAAATGGAGAATTTGCTGAGAAGGGTGGGTGAAAATTTCTCCATCCTCCAGTTTCTTCTCTTGCATTTGTTTCCCTCTTAATGTTCTGATACATGTCTGTAAATGCAGATGCATACATCTAGGTTCAAGACCTCATATCCAGTAAGAGAAAGTCTCATTATATAGAAGGAATGTAAAGTGAATTTTTTACGCCTTAAGTTTTATTTATTTATTTATTTTTGAGGTACTGGGGATTGAATTTGGGTCCTCTACCTCTGAGCTACATTCCCATCCCTTTATACTTTTTATTTTGAAACAGTATCTCACTGGGTTTCCTGTCAGATTTTGCAGTCCTCCTGCCTTAGCTTCCTGAGTAGCTAACTAAGGATTTTTCTGTGGTTATCTGTTAGTATGCCAGGAATGTGCTCCTTCTGTAGGAAAATGTCCTATTTGCAGGAGTATAATCAAAGGTACCCTTTTTATAAATTATAAACATGGAAATCAAGACTCAGTGAAATGATGTAGACTGCTGGAGATGATAAGTGGTAGACTGAAATGTGTATGGTCCATGTAGGGGAGCCTCCAGAACATGTATCTTTTTCTTGATATTATACTTCAGTTGTCTACTTTCTTGTGTTTAGAAAGAATGTTTCTTCACCCTTTTAACCTAAATAAGGGGAACTATGTAATCATTTGTTAGACTTTTGTTTTTGTTTTTCACATTCTTTCTGAAAAGAGCTCAATTTCTGGGTCTAGAATTCTAAGAAACTACCTGTTGACTGATACTGAAGCCAGAATTAGGCAGTCAGTATAGATAGGTAAATCGAGTCAGGTTGGATCAAGGAGGACAATTTTGAGTCATTCTGGCAAGTCTATAACGTTAATGAATGTGTCCTGGGCTGCTCTTCCCTCTTCAGCCTACCTTTTCCCACATTTTGGCTAGCCCACCAAGCATTTCCTATGAGCATTTCCTAGGCCTAGAGGGTATGTCTAGGAATGAGGCAAGGAGAAGAGAAAGGGCAGGAGAACAAAGGAAGGACATATAAAAAGGGCAGAACACCTTGCTTCTTGGGATACCAGGATACCAGCTATGGCCCTGCCCCCTTCCCGGAAAAGTCTGTTACTCCTTTTTAAATAATCCCTGCTTTATATGCTTGCCTTGGTGTGCTTCTCTAATATTCAGACTTCAACATGTGAGGAAGCAGAACTGGTCACTGATAACCGGCGGTATCACTATTCCATAAGTCAAAGGACACCATCAACTTTAAAGACGGATCTCAAAAATTTTTCTAGAAATGTTAACATTTTAGTGAATTTCCCCTACAATATATAAAATAAATGAGTGCATAATAACACAATTTGTTGATCTCAAAATCCCTTTTACAATTCTAAAAATTAAGGAACCCAAAGAACTTGTGTTTATGCACGTTTAACATTTTGTTACCATGTTAAAAATTAAAACAAAAATTGTAAAACATTAATTCATTTAAAATAATAACTATATATACATACTAAATATATACACTATATACTATATATATATATACACACATACACACACACACATACACACATACTAGTGTAACACCTCTTGAAAAATAATTAAAATTTGGTTAGAAGAGTGTAATGGTTAATTTGAATTGTGAATTTGTATTAAGAGATGTCTAGGATTGATTTATGGGTGTGTCTAGGAATGATTGGCATGTGGGGTAGCCAACTGGAATGGAGACCCTCCCTAAGCGTGGGCAGCACCAACCAATAAGATGATGGCTTGGATGGAATAAAAATTGGAAGAACAAGGAAGTAACAGCAGATGCAAGCTGGGTTCTTGTAGAATGGATTCTGATTGCTGCTGCAATGGTCTGAGAATATTGGACTCTTGCTTCTTCACTCTTCTAAAGTGGACTCCGACAGTGATTCTTCAGAAGCCTTTGACTAGGGTAGCACAGTTGAGCTCTCTTGTTCTGGGGCCTCAGCCTCTTGGATTATGCAGCTCCTGGTTCTAGCTCTCCAGCCTGCAGATGGCCATTATGAACTATCCAGCTTCTTGTCACATAAGCCAACCTAATAAGTCCCCTTTTTATAATTATACTTCCTGTGGATTCTGTTTCTCTAGAAAACCCTAATACCAAGAGTGACATTGTTTTAGCTCAATAGAAGACAGCTGGATTCTCATGTGCTTATATGTCTAATGATACGTTTTTGTGTGTATGATGAAAATTCAGTCTCTCAGAGGTATACATTTGGCAAAGGAAGAATTTTTTAGATAATTGTAGGTATTATTTCTTGATGTAATGCCAAAACTTGACAAGTGGTAGTTTCTTAAAGACATTGGAGAGCTGGGAGCTATGGCACATGCCTGTAATCCCAGCAGCTGGGGAGGCTGAGGCAAGAAGATCATGAGTTCAAAGCCAGCTTCAGCAAATTAATGAGGCACTAAGCAATTCAGTGAGAACCTATCTCTAAATAAAATACAAAAAAGGGTTGGGGATGTGGCTCAGTGATGAAGTGCCCTTGAGTTTGATCCCTGCTACCAGAAAAAAAAATAAAAAAGATATTTTGGAGTATAGATTAAAAAATGTCAGTTATCTTTTTAAAAGGTAAAATTTTTAAGAGCCATGTTAGATTTATTGCAAAATGAGTGGAAATTACAGATAGTTCTCATATACATCTGTGTCTCTACACATGCACATCCTCTTCCACTGATAACATCCCACACAGCGGTGGTTCATTTGTTAATGAACCTACATTGACACATTATCAGTATTTTGTCAGTTATTTTAAAAATGCTGTTCCATGAACAGAGAGCAAATTCAGCTTAACAGTTCAATCACAGAAGTGCCTTTCTTTGAGAAAATCTTTGTACTTTGGTTAAGTAGAAGCTCTTTTTGTGCACTTCCCATTTTGTCACACATTATTCATATTATTAAAGCGATGTTGATGTTTACTCAAGGGTCAGATTTCATTCACATTTTTATGACTTCACTATAGAGATACTCTTACATGAAAGGTCTTTTTTTTTTTTTTTTTTTTTTTTTTTGGTACCGGGGATTAACTCAGGGTCACTCAACAACTGAGCCACATCCCCAGTCCTTGTTTGTATTTTATTTAGAGACAGGGTCTCATGAGTTGCTTAGCAAGCCTGGCTGTTGTTAATCCTCTTGAACTTGCAATCCTCTTGCCTCAGCCTCCTAAATTGCTGGGATTACAGGTGTGCACCAGCACGCTCAACTAAAGAGGCATTTTTTTTTTTTAAACTGAAGATATGTTTTGATGCCACTATCTCAATTCATGTAAAGGTGTCAACAGTTTGACCACCATTGTTTTTTCACCATCAGTGCAAATGTCAGCCCAGTGAAAATGGCAAATAACTTTTTTAGATTTTTTTTGTTTTTGTTTTTTAGAAATCCCAAAAGGATTTCCAGGACCTGCAGAGCCTATGAACTACCGTGTAAGAACTATTAGCATGGTAAACATTAATCTTACTTTTTTAAAAAATATTTTTTTTAGTTGTATATGGACACAATACCTTTATTTTATTTGTTTTATTTTTATGTGGTGCTGGGGATCAAACCCAGTGCCTCTTGCATGCGAGGCAAGCACTCTACCACTGAGCCATAACCCCGGTCCCCAATTTTTTTTTTAATAAAAATAAATCCAAGAAGAATTAAGGAAGAACTTTAGTTCACTCAGGCTTCCTTGGTATAGTGGGAGGTCTCTTTGCACCTGCACTTATATTTTTGGTACTTTTGAAAGAGAAACTTGGTAGCACAATGCTGTCTTGCCTTGTCTTTCTCTTTAGTAGCTGGTCAGCCTGCCCACTGAGCATGTACCGTATTCCTCTGTGACTCTGGCATCACAGAGGCCTGCCTTGATTTTTCAGTATTGCCAATGACTGGCAAATAGTTTAAATATTTTGGGATTTGTATTAGGAAATCTACACCTAAGTGTTTTCCTCCAAAGCCTTTTTGGTAATAAAGGTGAGTTTTCATCTCTATGTGATGATTCTTTTTACCCTTTATTGGTTCTTGGGTGGGAGGGATGTAATTTTAAAAAATTATTTTTTAATTATTATTATTATTTTTTTTGGTAGTGGGGATTTAACCTACAGGCGTTTTATCACTAAGTTACATCCTCCTTTTTATTTTTTATTTTGAGACCGGGTCTTGCTAAGTTGCTGAGGATGGCCTTAAAATTGTGATCCTCCTACCTCAGTCTCCCGAGTTACTGGCATTACAGGTGTGTGCCACAGACCCAGCAGAAGGGGTGTAACGTGCCCTACAAATCTGTAGCAGACCTATTGATCTTTTGGTGTATGCATGGTTATTCAGGGGAAGAGGGATAGCTTAGTAGAAATGGAAAGACCATTGTAATAGTGCTAGATCCTGTTATCTTTCTGGTATAATGGTGTCTATAGGTAAGTTTTAACTAGAATCCTTGGAGCTTTAAGCCTTAGCGGCTCTGGCAATAAAGGGTTAATAGGTGAGTATGATGGTGTGTACAGACAGGTTTTAACTAGAATCCTTGGAGCTTTAAGCCTTAGCGGCTCTGGCAATAAAGGGTTAATAGGTGAGTAT